CTTTCAGGCATCCCTGTAGGCCCCCTTCAGATACTGGAAGGCTGCTATGAGATCTCTATGCAGGTTCTCTTCTCCAGGCTGAACAACAACCCATCTGAATTCTCCAGAGAGGAAGAGAGATCATAACTGTCACAGATAAGTGTGAACAAATGCAAAAAGAGTAGTCATATTACCTCAAGCTGAGATTCTGTGTGTTGGAATATTCTGCTTGGAGCAGTGGCAGTGAGTGGATGCTTCTGTAAGAAGACAGGCAAACACAGGCAGTGTCCCTATCCTCCATGTATTTTCTGCAGTCTATTGACTAGAAAGGGAAAAATATAATTTCCTTTGGGGGTGGTGGTGAAACAGCTACATGTTGGAATATAACACCTATAAAGAATTTTGGGGTTTAGAGTTTGTGGGCATGGTGTTTTGATTTTTCTTTTTATGATGATGAGCTGTAAGCTTGTAAAAGAGCCTTTCTTTTCAAAGCTTTCAGAATAAGGCTTTAAACCTACTTCTTTTCTCCAAAGTTAAAACTTTAGGAAATGTACATTTGTTTAACTTCTGAAACTTGAGTTTTCTGCCTAGGTCAGGTATTTGGAGGCTTCAAATAGCAGTCAAATAGCACAAAATCAAGGTGATTATTGTTTGAACTTCAGCACTGTGTGATTAATTGGAAATCACAGGCTTGAAACACTGAATTAGAATAAATTTTTAGACAGAAGCTTGGAATCTGATAGTAAGTCTCTGCTGGAACTAAAAATACCTACAATGAAAACTGCTCAATTTGCCAAAGAAGTTGGTTACATAAAAATGACTGCCACTATATGACGTGTCTATCTTTATTTTAGGGCAGTTAGTACCCAAATATAATCATAGAATCATAGAATGGTTTGGTTTGGAAAGGACCTTAAGATCATCCAGTTCCAACCCCCTGCCATGGGCATGGACACCTCACAGTAGATACTAGATAATACCTGATATGTTTCTTAAACTCTGAGGAACTTGTGAGCTTGTGTTGCTCACTGAGGTTCAAGATGTAAAGAGCATAAAGAATCTGTTTATTGTGGTTATGCTGTACTTTCTCTTTGGAGAAGAGAGGTTTAGGATGAAAAAATTATTACCATTATTCATACGCCTATTGCAATAGGAATAGATAGACCCTGACCCCATATTTTGTCTGAAACATTCAGAACAGTAAAAATCTGTTTACTATTTGTCTTGAATATAAACTTTGCAAACAGGCTGAGGAAAGTGGTGGCTGAGCAACTGGTACATATTTGCTTCTGATGATTGCTACAAGGGTGCTCTTCTGGACAGACTAGACAGCTGGCAGTAGTAACTCCTCAAACTTCATCAGTCAGAGGTTCCTGGTCATACGTGGTGACAGCCTAAGCCTCTCTTGCTAATAGTTTTCTTAGTGTGGAAATGGTAGTCTTAACTCTAACTTTTCCTCGATAGTTGTTGAAAATTAAGAAGAAGAAATGGGGCTGAGCTGACAAATAGCATATGTATTTGGGATTCACTAAGTCAAAACAGGTTAACATAATAAAAAACGGGTGAAACACTGCAAAAATCTTTAGGAGACTTTAGATGATTTCTCTGTGTGTGCATGTGTGCTGGGTCAGTGCTTCCTCTAGTGAGAACTTTGCTGAGCAATAAGCTTGTGCGCTTAACTTGCAGTAAATTATAAAAGTTTCCAGAGGTGTGATAATAACTGACAGGTCATCAGGTTCAGCTGAGTTGAGTGAGGGCCAGATTGAGAGTGATCTCAAGTAAGGGTTTGGTTGATTTTTTAATTGTTATTAGTTTGGCGCTTTTTCTTTGGGGGGGGGGGCAGGTAACAGGGTGTGGGGTGGCTGCCTGGTTCGTATTGTTTTATACACTGCCTTTGTTTTAAGAATTATGTGGAAATGTGACCAAAGATGCTTGTAAGACTGTAGTGGTCAAGAGAGTGCTGAGATGTCTTGTCCAAAGTGCTGCCTGTGCTGCCCCATGCAGGATAAAGACAAAACCAAAAAGCATCCAAACCTTAGGAGTGGAAGGGATGTTTTTCCTTTTTGATTAATTGACAGCAATTAGCACATGGTGTGGTTTTAGTGTGTAAGGAGACATGAAGTAGGATGGAGGTCTTTGCCTGTAATTTAGGGATTATGATGAGCAATATTTAGAAGATACTATTCATAGCATCATAGAATCACAGAATGGTTTGGGTTGGAAGGGACCTTAAAGCTCATTTATTTCCAGTCACCTGCCACAGGCAGGGACACTTTCCACTAGACCAGGTTGCTCCAAGCCCCATCCAAACTATCACTGAACAGTGACAGCGATGGGGAAGCCACAGCTTCTCTGAGCAACCTGTGCCAGCGCCTCAGCACCCTCACAGGGAAGAACTTCTGCCTAAGAGCTCATCTCAATCTCCCCTCTGTCAGGTTAAAGCCATTCCCCCCTTGTCCTGTCCCTACAGGCCTTTGTCAAAAGGGCAATATTAACTATAACTTATTCTTGCTCAACACTTAATATTTTTTGAGTCTTTTTAAACATGTAATCTAATCTTTTTTTATGGAAATGGAAATAAGAATGCAAGTTAGTGTAATTCTTTTTGCTGTTGTTCCAATTCCATGGATTATAAATATTAGATGTGTAAATGTTAGTTTAATTAGCTTCTGTGTAACCTTTTCTTATGCACTCTAAAGTTCCTCACTGCACCTAGAAAAACACTGTGTAAAAGTCTCTCTGTACACATTGGACTTTGGTCTAGATGAGGTCTACCTTGGTATAGATGAGGTCTATCTTATGAAAGCTTAGTTGACTAGTTAGAACCAATATCACTGACAAAGCTAATATTCTGAGAGTAGCTGTATTACTCATGCCACAGTCTTAGAGAGTAGAACATGAACTATTAACTTCATTAATACATGTTCTAGGATTATGTGTTCTCAAAACAGAAAGTATCAGCATAGTGCTATAAGCTTGTGGCATGCCTGTGGCATTTTAGACACTGCATGACGTGGAAAAGGTTTGTGACAAGAGCGTTCAAGTGAATAAAGCACAGTCATTATGAAGGAGAGTTAAATACATCAGGGCTTCTCAGCATGAAGAAATGAGTCCAAACAAGATATGACAGAAGACTATGAAGCTATGAGTAGTGTACCCAAGTACACAAAGCATTCCTGTTTCTGACCTTGCCAACTTATGGCACAGATAGTTAAAGGCTGGGACAGTGCACTTGGGAAATAGCACTATTTCACTCCCTTGATCTGACGGTTGTCTGAGAGCAACCAGCACAGGCAAAATTGTGGCTAGATGGACCTCCATTCCAAGCTGCTATGGCTGCTCATGCCTGTATGTGGGTAGGCTCAGTTGTGTACCTGGATGAATGAAAGTGCTGTTTTCTTGACTTACAGAGCTTAAACAGAAACACGAGATGTCATGGAGTGTTGTGAATAGGGTGGGTTGTGGAGAAAAGAAGAAAAATAATTGCAGCAAAGAAAAGTTACTATTTACAATGTCTTCTGTTAGTTCTGTGGACTTACACATAAATAAATCATTTTAGATTTAAATTATAACTCAATTTAAGTGAAGGAAAACCCAAGTGACTATCTGTGATTAGTGGAACAGGGCTGGTCTTCCATCTTCTGAAACAGTTCCCAACAGTGCCCTATATTTCTCTTTCCAGATAGGATGGATATCTGGCCTTTTTATGCTGCATGGTTTGTAAGTTCACTGGCTGTCAAAACTGCAGGGTTTACTTACCAGTAGAAGGCTTCTACTCAGTGTTAGTATTAAATATTTTGGCAACAGCTATCCTATGCATGGGCTTTCTATAACTACACAAGCATTTCCATCTCTGTGCTTGTTCAATCACAGTTTACTTGCTAGAACTTTCTGTGGTAGCTTGCGACATGCAGTGCTAATTGACATTTCATGTCACTCACTCAGTAGGGAGCTCTGACAAGAGCTTTTTGGTTACTCAGACCTATGAACCTTACCAGTCCTTACCAGTCTCACATAATTATAATTTACTGTAGTAATCTCCAAACTGCTCCTGAAGAATGGTTTCTTTTTTCTTTCCAGTCCCTGAGGAGTCTCAAAGTGTCATCTGCTGCAAAAAAGAAGGAATTATGGAGTCCATGCGAGACAGCAGTACTTGCATCCTTAGCCTGCTTCAGAGGGTCTGAATTACCTGTGGGAAAGCACAGGCAATATGACTTCTTTCATATTTCATGGGAGTGAATTACAGCTAGTATTTGTACTTGCCGCAACAGAATACCCAGGTTCATGCACTAATGCAGGTCAGTTATTCAGACAATACATGAAAAATCTCTTTTGTCTGTTGGACTCATAGAATCAAGGAATGGTTTGTGTTGGAAGGGACCTTAAATCTCATCTAGTTCCAAGCCCTCTATGACAGGGACTGAGAACTCTAAGCTCATTTCACAAGTCACAGATTTCACCAGAACACTTCCCAATCTAGGAGGAAATTTCAAGCAGTGCTGGATGTCTGCCTCTATTGACCTTCCAAATTTTTCTTTTCCTGTCTTTTCTAAAAGTATTTACTTGACTCTGCATATTGCTGCCTAATGTAGAGATGGATAATACAGTGCTGATTTTAAAATCCTTACTAGCACAGGATATAAGAAGACTTCTGAAGGAATGCTAAAAGGAGTGGCTTTGAAGCAAATATTCTAACCTAACATGCCTTTCTTGGTGTAGGGTGGTTTTTAAACCCTCCCCCCCATTCCCTTCATAGTCACTACTACTGTCCTTGTCTTCTAGACCATTTAGTACCCTCCTCTTAGTGTCAGTAAAATACAATTACTGGTGCTGATAATCATTATGTGTTAATCCATAGTAGTTCCAACTTTGATGTATAAACAGGTCCTATTTCAGCAGCAAAAGAAATCCAGGTGGAAAATGCATGCAGACACACACACACATGCACATACCCAGTATGTAGAATGCCTTCAAGAAACTGTAGCTAAGCACCTTATTAGTATTCCTCCCTCCTCTGTTTCACTTGCAGCAAGAGAGGGCTGAGCAAAATGCAGTAGAACAGGCACAGAGACAGAGCTGGCAATCATCTCAGTGCAGGCTGCTGAATGTAAGGGGTGGGGGGGATGCAGCACAGCAAGATTAATAACCTTGTTCTAATCCTATGTACCCTGGAAGGAGATACGTTTGGTGACTGAGCTGTTCTTGTCTTAATTGATTAGGCTGGGTGAATGAGTGGCTGGCAAGGCACATTGCTGAAAGGAGACCCCCCTGATTTTGCTGCTCTCTGAAGCCTCTACCCATCTGGCAAGGTAGTGAGACGTACCATCTGCAGCACACACAGCAGCTACTACCGACAGTTTGCACTACAGGTTTGATGGTGAGCAAGAAGCCAGGTATATTGTGCACTGGGATATTTCTGTGCTCAAGCTACTGAATTTCACAGTCTGATCCTTCTGCAGCCCCCTTTCCAATTGCCTGTGAGTTCTGGGATCTACTTTTGGCATCGTCTCTTTGGAGGTTTTTTGCTGGGAATGGAAGATCGGTAAATGGAACCTCTGAAAACAAATTTGGTTTGCCTCTGCCTGACTCGAGCACGAGGGAAGCAAAAGCATCAAAACCTCCTGAAGGGATTTAAATTTCTTTTGAAGAAGTTTACAGAGGGACCGGACAAAAGGTAAACCTAGGGGGTTGCCCACCCCTTGTTTCCTTGATTGAATTGAGGGGAAAAGCTAAACCATAAGTACTGGGTGCATATGGAGCATGTTGTTTGTAAAGTCTGGGCTTTTTACCCTTTCCTTCCTTTTCTGTATTTTTTCCTTTGTTTTTCTTTTTTTTTTATTATTTTTTTCTTCTACCCCTGCCATTTGCACAGGGAAAATGCTCGCAAGATAATGATCTCTAGTGCTGGAAAATGTTAGTTAAATAGCACTGTAAAGCTCCTTTCATTTCAAAGGTATTAGAATTTCTAGGGAGAAAATTCTGTTTATTAAACCAGCTAAAATGTTTGGAAAGCATCTAGAATGGGCAAGAAATGCAGCTCATAGGCTATCTTCAACAGAAGTCTCCATATTTTCATAAACCTTTTCTAGCTGCTTTTTTTTTTTTCCTATGCATTTCAGCCAGCTCTGGAATGATGAATTTGTAAGTAAAATGCTGCTTCTGCTGCTGTTAGCAGAAGGCAAAGGTAGCAGAAGTGGAATGTAAGAATTTGTGCATCACTTACGTGAAGTTCCTCTGTTTGCTTTTCATTAACCTTTTGAATGCTGCTGCTTTCTTTGATATGTGCTAAGGAATTCATGAAATCTGTAGGGCCCCAAAGTCATAACTCCTGTGAAACAGAGCGCCATCAGAAATGAGTTCTTGTGGGCCCTTAATTTTTTGAGGTAGAGGTGCTACCAAGTGCTTATGAGGCAAAAGTAAATGTCTCCTCCAGCATGGTTCATGGCAGAGTATTTCTGGATCATAAGGCTGTGATGCTGTGATGCTACTCAGTTTTTAACCTGGCACTTGTAATGTATCCTCCCCCAATGCAGTTTCTGCAGTAACAGTGAGACTGGCGTACCCTTTTCCATCTTTCCATTAAATAATAGGAATAAAATACCATTGCAAAGCAATAGAATTGGAGCTCTTATAGTTGAGCTTTTTTTTATTGCTGCACTGATAGTACTTAACATTCCCAAGGAGGTAAAAAAACCATCTGTAAGTACATTTCAAAGAAGCTTCATTCTCCAAATGGAATTGCTAGGTACTCACTTCTCAATTATACGAACACGAATGACTAATATTGAAGGATATGGTATCTATTTGAAAGGCTGCATGGCTGGTTATTTAGTGTTAAAAGTCATGGATCAAAATACAGTTGTACTGAATAATCGAATGTTGAGGGACTTACATGCATATACAATGCATGCAAAGAAAAGGGGTCTTGTGTCAGATTTATCAGTGTAAGTACACATCAGATGGACTGGACCTTTGATCAGTTTAGTACAAAGAAGTGTAATGACCCTTCTTGTAATAGATCCTTTGTTGTAAAGCTGAAACGTAATGAAAAGGCTCTGCTTCTGAGTAATCAAATCACATTATGTTATAGCATCCTGTCAGTCAGTCCCTCTATTACCCACTGGTTTTGCATAATAGCTTTAAAGAGGGATTAAGGAAGAAAGGAGAAACTGGTTATAGGTGCGTTTCCCCTCATTTTCTGAAAGTGATGCTCTGTGTTGCATGTGCTTTTATACAATTATGACAAACGTCTGTCTGGGCAGGTTGCGGTTTGCTAGTTTTCCCCCATTGTACTTTCCTCAATCTCCATCACATGTAGCACCTGAATCTATTAATTTAGACCAGGCAATGAGCTATCCTCTCTTTTAACTATGGAGAACAGTCTGTATGTAGTGAGGGCTGAAAGTGTGTGTGTAGAAATGACAACTCATGATCTTTATAGCCTTACCCTGTTTTTAGAATTGAGCTATGTAATGAGACCTTCAAAGCTGAGACACTGACTGGCTGAAAGCAGGGGGGAAATGTTCTGCCTGAAGATGAAACAGCTTTCATGTTCTGCGGACAAATATGGCACATTTGCTCCACCAGTAGTATTTCTGCATATTCTGATGTATAGAATATAATTTCATAGTGTTGCCCTAAACTGAGTGGGAGGGTAATCACCTCTGTGCTGGCAAAGAAAGACATCAGTGTTCTCTGCTTATAGTGTCCAGATGTTATTAATCATATGTCTCTGTTGGTCATCAACCCCACATAAGTGAGACTGGTAGGGATGTGGTTTTTTTGCAACTAGTATTTACCTCATTATATGCTGTAGACCAAAGCAAATGGTTATTTTACATTTGAACAGATTCACTGAAGAGGAAACCTTATGCTTCTCCTCTTTATCCCCCAAACCCTACCTAGGCATTTTTGTTGATTTAGTAGATTTTGTTTAGAACTTTTCCTGGATTTAAATTATGGCTTCCTAAATTATACTGTCAGAGTATCTATTTTGGGGGGTTTGTTTGTACATCTTACAATCTAAACAATATTGTACCTAAAATGTTATATCACAGGATAGGCTTTGGTTTATAATTCCAAAATGGCAAGAATGTAAATGGGTAATACACAGTGCTAGCAGGTTTTAGGTGGGAACAGGCTTTAGCATAAGTCAGCCCATACGTATTTTTTCTTAGTGTTCAATTAAAAAAACTGTGGAAAGAATGTCAGGTGTTTCTTTTTTGTGTCCCTTCCATTTTAATCGCATTTTACACTTTAAGGCCCCTTGTCTTCAGTATCACCTAAATTAGAAAATACTTTCTTCTCTTTACTGTTTGGGTGCTTGTGTAAGCTCTATCCACTGTGCATCTTGCTGTAGTAGGAAGGCCTTCATGAGCCTTGCAGTGGGTGTTATCATAGGTAAGGTCTCTTAGCAAGAATATGGGGTACAATATGATTCTTGTGAGCTGAATTATGTAAATGTTGTTTTAAGAATAAGGGGAAGATAAACACCAAATTTCTTTCTCACTTAGTTCCAGTTAATTGACCACCTTTTTTTTTCTCACTGCTGAAGTCAGCCAGCCAGGCACTAAGCTTCTTTAGCACATGTTTCTGTGTTTCTGAGACCCAGGGTACATTACACATGAATTCCTCCTTCCTTCTGAAACAAGCTCAGCTGACAACTGGTAAGTCAGGCTTGGAGCTCTGCAGCAGCATGCAAGCAAGGTGGGGTACTGGAGATGGGAGAAGTACTAGCAAATAGAGGACTTAAACCAAAAGAACAAGCTCTGTGGGACAGCAGAACTTCCTTTTGGTTGCTGACTCGTTGTGTTGGTCTGCAATATTATCTTGCATTAATATGACACTGGGCTTGACTTTGAAATAAGGAGCCAGGAAAGAGCAGTGCAGTGCTTATGAATGTGTACTACTATAATGACAAATGGTATGATCACTGCAAATTCCTGTGAGTAGAGTTAATGTTAAGTCTCTTACTTTAAGAGAATAGTTAGCAAAATTTAGTACTTTTAGCCACTTAAGGGCCAAAAAGAGCTTACAAATATATCCTTTCATTTTTCAAATTAGTTGACTGCAATAAATTAATTTTTTGTTTGTTTGCTTGTTTTCTCCCTGCATTGCTCTCCTTCCCTTTTCATTCAATGTCAAAGGATAACATTTAGGAATGATGGAGACTCTGAAACCAAAATTCTAGTTCCTTGCCTGTCAAACAAACATGTTAGATAAACTCAAACCTCTTAAGCAGCATCTTAAAAACAACTAATTTTTTGCTTTCTGGACTCCTAGTTGGAAGTGTGGAAATGAAGTTTGTTTGAGAGATTGTTTCATTTCTTAGCTTTTCAAAAATTTCTTAGGTTGTCTAGGGAAGATAACCTACCTGTTATTTGACCTCCCACAGATTCTAGCAGCTGAGAAGGCATCCTTTAGTAGTAGGAGTTCCTTATGTTTTTATGAAATTAATGCAAAAGATCTTTTTGTTGTAGAACAAAAAACATGAGAAAATGTTGACTTGGGCACAGCAGCTTTCAAGAATGGTACAAAAGGGGAGTGTTGAGAGCATGGGTACATACATAGGTTTTTTCTTCTGGAGTGTGTTACCTTTCAGGTTGGTAAGATTAATGGTGACATTCTCAAAGTTAAAGTTCAGACGCCCAAGTGGTATGCTGAATTTTGTACATCTATTTCACATTGCTGAGGAGGAAACATACTGTTTCTGTATTCTCAAAATCCGCAAGATGCTGCTGTGTAAAGAGCTCTTGCCAAACTTAGAGTGGTACATAAGGCAGACTCATATTGATCCTGGAGGAAAGTGGGAGAGATTCCTTCAGGAGCTGTAGACTTTCTTTCCTAGAACATATACTGAAGAGGCAGAACTGTAGCAAGGAATCTCGGTCTCTTCCTGCTGCATATGGAAGAAACTTTTCCTATGGACAGCAGTAACTTGCCAAAGCTTTTTTTATTCAGTTGGCTATCAATGGTAGTTCTTCTGTTTGTGCATTGCAATGACTAGCAGGGACATCAGTGTAAAACAATAACGTGCTCAAATGAGGCTCACAACTGCAAATATAAGGGGGTTTTGTTGCTGTATTTTTGATATAGCTTTGAGCTTGCAAGCCATGCCAGGAAGATTTTCCATGAGGCCCATTATTCTAACCTTTTGATGTTGTTTTGGTAGGTTAAATTTTTTGGTAGGTTAATTTTTTTATGGTTTTTTGGTAGGTTAAACATGAAGTCCAGCATGTACTAGTAATTAGGCACTGCGAGTCCTAATCCTGTTGTTTATCCTGTTTACAAGAATCAGAACAGGGTTATATACTTCCTTTCCTATTGTTTATTTATAGGAGAAAATCCTACCAGTGCAATATGAGACTATCAAGCAGTGGGCATATTTTCCACGTAAACTTGGCTTTCTCGTTCTAATTTGTCTACTGGTATGTAATCTTTCCTGCTGTCTTTTCTGCTGTTACAGAACAAAACTGGCAAATGAGAAAGAAAAGCAACAATTCTGTAATACAAATGTGGTGAATCACCAGCTTATTAAACCAAAATGACATCATTTTGGTATTAGGTAAAGCTAGGGATGCCACTCCTTTGCCTGTGTGATTCTTCCCTCACTCCATTATTGTTCATCAGTTAAGCACTGTTGAAAACATCATGTTGATTCTAGTTGAAGGGACA